TAGTTAACACAAGTCTAGGAAAAAAACTGCCTTCTAAGACCCCAAGTAAAATAGCTCAATCCATCACCTAGGGTTCATGATATCATGATAGAAAAATGGCTTTTAATTCAATCTGCAAAGAATCACGTAAGAAAGAAAATCTGTGAAGTTTAATAATATTTAATGAGACTTCAGTGTAAATGTCTTATCTTTCACAGGTATTATCGAAACTCTTTCAGGCAGGCATAATCTCCATTATCACAGATAAGGACACTGACACTCTGAGATTGCACCATGCATAATGCCATAGGTACTGAAAGTATAAGACTTAGGATCTCAGCTCCATTTGACTCCAATAGCCAGGCTTTTCCCTACTATGTACACTACCTCCCATGGGGTATTAGTGATGCTTAACAAACATCCATTCAGAAAAAGATCAAATGATTTAATTGACAGCACAGCTCCTGGGGAGGTACAACTTATTCCTAGGTTTTGTGTTATTCATCCAACCTAGCAAGTGACAGCTTAAAGTAAAGTTTAAAAGATAAGGAGACGATTGTGCCCTTCCTCTAGAACCCTCTACATCTTGTTAAGTTTCAGTGGATGCTGACTTAACTTCCAAAGATAGTAGAGCTGCTGGAGTTTTTAGAAAGAATAGCCAGGCACCTGGCTCTGATAAAAGATACTGTATATTCATTAGCTCATTCAATAGATATGCAGTGACTGAAAACCATGGGCTAGGTACAGAGCTAAGCACAGTGGACACATTGATGAATAAATATGATAGTCATTGTCTTTGGTCTCGTGGTCATTATAGACTAAAGGGCATCTTATCGAGCTAAAATTACGCTGCTGCCATAAAAGTTACATTTTAATTTATTCACTCAAGAAATGCTGACTACAAACTATATGTAGAGAAAACCAGACATGATTCTTGCTTTCGTGGAGTTTACAGTCTAATGAGGAAGATTAAATAAATACAAGCATGCATGATATAATGTGAGTCTACAAATAGGGGAAACTGGCTTCATCAGATTAAAAGATTCTTATTTGAGGATTTACCACTTAAGCTGAGATTTGAAGGATGAATAGGAGTTAATTAGGCAATGATTGGAGGGAAGAACATTCCAGGAAATTCGTAACGCATGTGCGCTCTTGTTATAAAGGTAGGATGGTGAGCAGGAAGGACTTTGAAAGAGGTCAGTGTGCCTGGAGAGCTGGGAGTAGCAGTGCCTTGCCTCAGGTTAGGCCCAGTGTTAGGCAGGAACTAGACCTATAGGGAATGGTACTTTATCAGTTGGTCTCTAGGTTAATAGGGTACTGCAGCAACTCCATCCTGGAAACGGAACTTTGAGGCAGAAAGGGAAAAGAGAAGATACCTATGATCTGAAACAACACCAATGAGCTCTCTTCACTCACTAACCAGGGTGACATGGAGGAGTAACTTTTGTGACCCTTCCTTTCCAGAATGCCATATCCAGTTGTGGAAGAGAACACTGTTTTGGGAATCCACTGAATTCAATTCTTTGTTTTTTTTTTTTTTTTTAAAGATTTATTTATTTTATTTTATACAAGCACTGGGTACAGTCAGAAGCGCAGGAGGGTGAGAGAATTCACCAGAGCCAGAGCGGGAACCAGAGCAGGCAGAAGGACTGAAGTACACTGCTGAGGGGAGCAGCGGGCAGCAGGAGAGGTCTGCGTGCCATTTGGGACCCTCCTACGGTGGTCGGGGAGCAGCCGGGGATTGAACCAGCGCTGCAGAGGCTGTGGGCAGCTTCGCAACCCAGCGCTCAACGCTGTGCCACCGGGGAGGCCCAATTCAATTCTTTGTTATCTGTTAAGTTCCTCATCTATTAAATGGGACTAGACTATTTCCTTTTCAGGGTTCTTATGAGAATTAAATGAGATAATATGTTAAAGCACTCAAAACAGTGCTTGCTTAAATAATACCCATTGAAGTTGGTTTTGAAGATGTTGGGTTCCTTTGGTTAACTGTGGGAAAAGCTTCACCAAAGCTCACCTTCCATTGATATGGGAAAATTTCCCAGGTGGTTTCTCCGTGAAACAGAGACATACGTTGTATTGAAAAGAGCAGGTTTATTCTAAAAGGGAGGAAAGTGTAAAGAATGCTTCCATAGACACAAGTGGCCAGAGAGAGCTGCCCCCAAAAGGGACAGATTGGCTAGAAGAGAGGTCTGTATAGTAACAGGCGGGCAGCCTTGGGAGGAGAGCTGCTTCTGCTGCTTTGTAAAGGGAGGTCAGTGAAGAGAAGCACCTGCATGGTCAGTGTTATAGGGCAACCCCCATATAAAATGGGTTGCCTGGCTGTGGCTCCTCACCCGCGCACTTAAAAGGGACTTAATACTCCACTATAGGCACACACAAAAGGTTAATAAAAGGTTTATTTACAAGGGAAAGGGAATTAAGGAAATGTACAACTCAGGGAGAAAATAGGGAAATAAAGTCTTTAATGCGTCCTACCGATCCGCCAACCTGGAAACCCAAAGGCACTCTCAGAGTTGGCCAGACGCTGCGAGCTGGCGGAGAGCCAAAATGGGAGATCCCCTCCAAAGCCCATGTGTCTGGCTTTATACCACACCTGGCTGCTTAATGCCACCCTCAGGTCCCAGCCACCTTCCCTTTGGTGGTGATGGGATTTGGAGTTCCCACTGTCTTTTGGCTTTGGTCTGCAGTGGGGGTGGAGTCCACAAAGCCTGTATGGAATTAGCTTTAGGACATTGTTTTTCCCCTAACAGCAGGAGGGCTGCTGTCCTGCAGAGGGAGAAAGTTGGTGGCGAGGAGCTCCGGCATAGGCACAGGCAGGCAGAGGGCTGCTGTTCCTGCTCTACAAACAAAAAAGGTTAGCAAAGAGAACACTTGCCTAGTCACAGGTGGGCAGAAGGACTGCTGCCCCTTGCCAGTGCAGAAATTGCACTGATAAAGTTTTCTCCTTGGGAGGGGCTCATTCCTTTGTGGAGTTAACTTTTTTTTTTTTAAATAATTTTATTTTTATATTCCCCATAAAATTGCAATGCCCCCATTCTGACCCCAATCCCTCCCCTCCCGCCCCCCACCCCCCAAAAAGTGTCTCTGGTTCATAGTTTTTTGTTGATTTTGATTTTCACTTTCTTATAGTTATTCATTTTCCTGGTCCCTTATTTAAGTTTTCTAGATTCCTGCTATGAGACCATCCGGTATTTTTCTTCGCTGAGCATGATCCCTTCCAGCGCCATCCATGTTGCTGCAAATTGCATGTGTTTATCTTTTTTGAATGCTGAGTAATATTCCATGGTATATATGTACCACATCTTCTTGATCCAGTCATCTATTTTTGGGCATTTGGGCTGTTTCCAAAGCTTAGCTATTGTAAACATTGCTGCTATAAACATAGGGGTGCAGGTGTTCTTTGGAATTGATGTTTCTGTGTCCTTTGGGTAAATACCTAGGAGTGGAATTGCTGGATCATATGGAAGCTCTATGTTTAGTAGGTCCAGAAATCTCCACACAGCTCTCCATAGTGGTTGGACCAGTGTGGAGTTAACTTTCGTTGAATAACTATACAGAATTTGAAAAGGACCAGAGACTCTCTAATGGTCATCAATTTTCAAATTCTCTTTTCTCTGGGAGGGGTTCATCCCCTTCTACAGTGTGACTACGTTAATCTGTAAGGATCAGTGATTTCTCTAAAAGGGCCCTCAATCTCTATTTCCTCTGGTTTTGGGCCTCTGATATAATCTGTGGCAGTCTGATGTTTGCTATAGTGCAGCGCTTGGTGCCTCAGAAGCTTTCATTTTATAGCTGGTTTAACAACTACGTTAATCACTTCTACCCCACCTCCAGCCAGCTCCCAGCATTGCGTGGGCCAGGTTTCTGGTCTCATGATGCCTCCTTTCCAACTTTTCTACTCTCAACCTCTACTCATATTTTTCTTCACGTGTAAATGGAAACCATGATGGTGTTTAACAAACAAGGTTTTGATGATCCGTGAATAGCTTATGTATGTGGAAAAGGGAGGTCCTCTGCTCAGTCCTATTTCTACTTTTAGGAACCAGGAACCTTCTCCTTTTACAGAGCCCCTTCTAATGTTTCTTAGGAAAGGTAGGCCATTGCCTTCTCCATCTGCCTGGTGCACCCTAAGAGGCATGTGCATTTTTTTTAAAAGATTTATTTATTTATTTATACATACAAGCACTGGGTACAGTCAGAAGTGCAGGAGGGTGAGAGAATTCACCAGAGCCAGAGCAGAGAATAGAGCAGGCAGAAGGACCGAAGTACATTGCTGAGGGGAGCAGCGGGCGGCAGGAGAGGTCTGCACGCCATGTGGGACTCTCCTCCAGTGGCCGAGGAGCAGCCGGGGGTCGAACCGGTGCCACAGAGGCCGCGAGCAGCTTCGCAACCCAGCGCTCAACCACTGCGCCACCGGGGAGGGCCCCATGTGCATTTTTTTTTTTTTTTAAGATTTATGCATTCAAGAACTGGGGTTCAGGCCAAAGATGCAGGGGGTGAGAGGATTCACCAGAGACTGAGCGGGGAGGAGAACAGGCAGACTGACTGAAACATACTGCCTAGGTGAGCAGAAGGCGAGACAGGAGAGGTCAGCTGCGCCATGTGGGTTGCTCCCTGACCGGCTGGGGCTCGAACTCGTGCTGCAGAGGCTGCGGATTGCTTCAGAGTGCTGTGCTTAACCCCTTGCACCACCAGGGAGGCCCCATGCGCCGCCTTTTAAAACTGATCTCTCACTTTTCTCACATTTCTCTTAAGAGTTATCTTTCCACTTGGATATCTTCGTCCCACACCTGGCAGAGGACACCTAGCAGGCGAAGGCACACCCATCGGACGCCGCCTGGGCCTGCCCGCCGCGGTGCCCGCCCGCAGTCTCGCTGAAGAGGCTGGGTCCCGGCGCGGCGCGGCGCGGCGGCCAATCAGAACAAGTTTGGCCCTCTGCAGTTTCCGTCCGCTCACTAGGAGGCGCTGCGGCGGCCGCCGCGGCTCCCGGCGCTGTCGCGCGGGGAAGGGCGGTTGGCGCGGAGGCTGAGGCGCGGAGACATGGAGCGGGGTTCAGAGTCGGCGGCCGTGAGGCGGCACCGCGTCGGAGGGGAGCGCCGGGACGGCTCGGCGGCCGCATCCCAACAGAAGGAGGCCCCGGAGCAGGCGTCTCAGGTGGACGCCGTCGGCGGCGGCGCCAGGACGCGGAAGCGCGGCTCTGAGGAGAGCGGCGGCGCGAGCCGCGGCGCGGGGACTGGACTGTCGGAGGCGCGCGCCGCGCTGGGGCTGGCGCTCTACCTGCTCGCGCTGCGGGCGCTCGTGCAGCTCTCGCTGCAGCAGCTCGTGCTGCGCGGGACCCCTGGGGGCCACGGGGAGTTTGATGCGCGGCAAGCCAGGTACCCGCGACTGCCTCCGGGCCTGCGCTGCCCACATGGCGGCCCCTACCGGGCGGGGGCACCACACCTGTCAGCACCTGCCCCTGCGGGACCGCCCGGGCTCGCCAGCTCCCCCGGCTGCTGCTCGTGGGATGGGGTGGCCTTGCGCGTCCCTCTTCTGGCGTCCCCGGTTTATGAAACGCGCTGTAAGCTTGTGGTGCAGGTGGGGGGCTTCAGGGGGATTGTGCCTGTTTCCTCACGTCCATTTTGCCCACCTGCACGTAGTTGGTCGTTAGAAGTCCTCCCGCCTTCTGGAGCAACTTTTATTTTTCACTTTGGTTAGCCTTTCCGCTTTCCAAGTGAAATGGGGAGTGAAATTTTGTTAGCGGGGACTGTTTTATAAATTCGGGGTCCGGGGAGGGGTCGGATGTGGATTATGCAGGGGTCTACTCTTGAGGGTCATCCGTCCTCTAACCTGAAAGCTGTTGACTCTCCTGTCAAGATTTTATTTTGAGAAGTTGACAAGCTCAGTTCTCAGATTCCTGGAGCTTGTCCGTGGGCCTCTGGTGTGTAAGGTTTGATTTTTTTTTTTAAATAAAAAAAAAAATACCTGTAAGTATGTTAGGAAAGGTGATTAAGGCAAAGATGTTGTCATCTAAGTGTGTCAAAATTTGTATCTTAAATTAGCATAGAGTGTTTTCAACAGCCACTGTGTTTTTAAAACTCTTCTTTTGAATACAAAGTTTGTTTTCTTAAAGATTTTCTGGAACATACCTTCCCCACCCCCTTTTTTCCTGCTTGGAATGCAGTGAGGATGAAAAAAAATGTTTGTTTTGGGGGCAGAGTTGATTCTGGCCTGAATTGAAGTTATTAGGCCCTGTCTGCACACTAGAAGGGCTGACTCCATTCACAATCAAACATTTTTCATTGCTTATTTAACCTCTTGACTTACTTACCTTTGTTCTTTGATTTCTGCTACTTATCAGTATTCTGTCCTGTCTAGCTCTCTTCTGCAGTACAGATTTTATTAGAATCCCTTGTCTTTGTGTTGGTTTTTGGGAATTGGGAGGAGTTGGGAATGGGGTGGGTGGAGAAAACTCTGAAGGAATAAACTCCTGGGAGGCAAAATAAAATGATAGACCTTTGTAAGTGATTTTCAAAGAGAGCCTGAAACAATAAAGGCAACGTTTTTTTATGTGAGAAGCCAAAGAACTACTTTAAGGGCTGGTTGAGAAGGATGTAGAGGAAAAGCTACTCTGGGCTCTTGGTTTTCAGCCTAGCATGCCTTGTCATCATCATTCATTTGATTGTTTCCAGGGATTATCTTGAACACATTACATCCATTGGCCCTCGGACTACAGGAAGTCCAGAAAATGAAATTCTGACCGTGCAGTATATTTTGGAACAGATCAAACTGATTGAAGTTCAAAGCAGCAGCCTTCACAAGATTTCAGTAGATGTACAACGACCCACCGGATCCTTCAGCATTGACTTCTTAGGAGGTTTTACAAGCTACTATGACAACATCACCAATGTTGTGGTAAAACTGGAACCCAGAGTTGGAGCCCAGCATGCTGTCCTGGCTAATTGTCATTTTGACTCAGTTGCAAACTCACCAGGTATGTACCTGTTTTTAGTGTTTTTTGATCATCACTGTCCAGAAAGTTTATTAACTTTGCCTAAGTCAAGCTGCCTGGGCAATTGTGAGGCAGTTTTCTTGGCTAAACCTTTCTATCCTGTGATGGAGGGCTAAAAAATTAGAGAAGTATCATTTAGTTTAAGATCTACCTTGCAGTATTATCTCAAATGCTTTAGCTTATTTTTTTAAGCATTAGTGCCTGCCAAGAATCTAATGATGGACATGAAGTATTTCTGGTAGACTGAGTAGCCTTTTCAGCATTACTAGTATGTATCCCTGAGTCCTGGAGTTAGGTTTTGCCACTTCAGATGTTTACTCACTCAGCTAGGTGTTATAATAGGCTTGGGGATTTGTGAGACAGTCCTTGCCTTTAAGGGATACATGGTTTAGAGGACATTGCTCCTAGCAGTTTCTGTTGACCTATAAAGTAAGAATTTTGGTTCCATAGTGATACCAGACTTACAGGTCCTCATTAATTCACAAATCTTGCTCTGAAAATACCAAAATTGAATATTTCTGTTTAGTACTGTACTGAAATAATAAATATTTGTCAAATGAATGAGTATCCTGTAAATCAAATTTCCATTTTTAAAAAATAAGACTCCTCAGAAAAATATTTTCAGTAGTTAGGGAGATTGTAAGTAGAGAAGAAAATAGTGCCATTTTACTATGGAATCATGTCACGTTAGTGTTAGACAAATTTAAGATAGCATCTGTGTTTGTTTTTTGTTTTTTTGACAGAGGAATAAGCTTATTCACCACTGATCAGAGAGAGAGAGCCAAGACCAGATGCCAGGTTTCCTGGTCAGTCAGTTCATGTAGCTACATTTGAAAGGAAGGAGAGTTTCTGAGCATTTCCCTCAGTTTCTGATCTGTAAAATGGAGATACTAATAGTACTTTCCTAATGGGATTGCTTAGAGGGTTAAAGATAATGAAACAGTAGAATAGTGCCTGATATGAAAAATCCCACCCTTTTTTGCCACTAATATTTTAATAGTAATACTTCTGGATTGATTGAACTTACACCAGGTCCAATACGAACATCTAGATTTATACAAAATATAAAATAAAATTTATTTGCTTGATAAAATGATAAATACTAGGTTATTTTTAACAAGAGCTTGTCAGTTGCATTTAGCACGTAGTATCTTTCAAAAATCAGTATATATACATCTGTTCTATAAAGTCAGTAATAACTTTGTGTGCTAGAGAAATGAGTGGTTTTTTATGTCTATCTCAAAGCAGTAATGACATAAATGTTACCCTATGCTCATTATTATTATGTTCAAATTCTAAGAAGGGACAAATTAACACCATGACCACTTAAGAGCATTATACAAGAAAGTTGTATATACAAATATCAGAAACAAACACAGTACCAAATATTACAAATCATGTATAAGGAGTCCAGTAATGAAAGGATGATGTTTTGGGGGATCATTGGAACCCATTTTTAACTAAAATTTTATAAGAAAAATGCCTATACAAATCATTTTAAGGAAATTTCTGTCAATAATAAATTGTTAAAAAAAATTCATAAAATGCTCTCACCTAAATACTTTTAGTGGATAAACTAATTGAAACATGGCTATTTTTTAAAAGTTCTTGGCAGTGTATCTGGAACTCAGGAAATGATACCATTTAGGAGTAATGCAATCCACAGAGAGGCCTTAAATATCTTCTGGGTTTGCTGTGTGGTTACAGGTTATTGGTAGAAGAGGCATTTGCATTATTTTAGGGGTGGCTTCAATTTCAAAGTTAACTCTAAATGGAAAGGGATGCTGTTTAATCACACAGTTGTTAAAGATACTTTCCTTCACTTTCTTAAGGATACTTGATCTTTATTTAGGTCTTTTCTGAGATATCAGAACCATTATAATAAAGAAAGATAAATGGACAGCTTAACTTCTTAATCAATACTCTGTAGATATCTCTATCTTTCAATTCCCCTTTCTCTGTGAATAAAGGAATATTTTATTGTTTTTATTTTAAAGTAACTCAGTCTTAGAAACCTATATTTCACTTGGTTTCAGGACAGCTGCATACTTTTTAATGATAGCTGCCATATACTTCCTGCTTCATAGTAATTAGATAATTATTACTGTTTCACTTTGATTGAAATACAATATAGTAATCATTACTAAGATGAGTATAGTTAATAAGTAGTTTCTTTTTGAGTAGGAATGGGGTCTGGAATTTAAAAGCACCTAAACAAGCATATTAGTTGGCTGTAGAACCTTTTTAAGTTAGCAAAGAGGAGAAGGAAAGACTAACATTGAATGCTTAACCACATGCAGGCATTGTGCATTATTTTGTAATCCTTCCAGCACACCTGTGAAGTAGATATTTATCCTGCCCTCTAGATCAGGAAATAGTAGGGTAAAGTGATACCATGTCTCCCAGTATGTCCACCCAGAAATGCTATTGCCTGAGCTTTTTCTTTGTTTTCTTTTATAGTCCTTCAGACTTTTTCTTACAGAAAATTTCAAACATATACAAAAACAGAGAGCTGTTTAATGAAACCAAGTGTACCTATCACTCAGTTTCAACAGTCTGATCTCGTTTCTTCTGTCTCCACACCCCCATCCACTGACTATTTTGAAGCAGCTCTCAGTTATGTAAGATTCTTCTGAATTTCAGTCCGTGTCACTGAAAGACGAGAACTTTTTTTTTGACGTGCATAATAACATGAATTGCTGCACCTAAGAAACTTAACAAAAATACTTTAATATTATCAGATGTGTGTTCAGTTCCTTCACTTACTTTCAAAAAAATTTTTGTGTAGAAAAACTACCCAAAACACCAGGAGTGGGGTATAGGCCAGAGGAGCGCTGGTAAGAAGATTCACCAGAGATTGGGGAGCAGAACAGGCAGATGTACTGAGATACACTGCTAAGAAAAATGATATGAAAAACCATTTTCTTGGAGCAGCAGATGACATAGAAGAGGTCTGCTATGCCATATGTGGGTTAGCTCCCTGGCCAGGAATCGAACTCAGGTGTTAGCAGTGATAGCACTGAGACTCAACCCCTATGCCACCAAGGAGGCTTCCTATAATTATTTCTTTTTTTTAAAGATTTTTATCTATGAATATAAGAACTGGGTGTAGGCCAGAGGTGTGGGAGGTGAGAGAATTCACCAGAGATAGAGTGGGGAGCAGAACAGGTGGATCTACTGAAATACACTGCTGAGGGGAGTGGTGGGCAAGACAGGAGAGGTCTGTTGTGCCATATGTGGGTCAGCTTCCTGGCCTTAGATTGAACTCAGGCCTTAGGCCGTTGTGGTGATAGGGTTGAGACTTAACCCCTAGGCCACCAGGGAAGCCCCTCCTATAACTACTTATTACAGTGGTTTTTAAAAAACTCAAGGTGCTAGAGTCAGCTTTATAATGACTTTTAATTAATATTCAGTTTCTGAATCAAAGGAATGATTTATGAGGTCCTCTGCTTTATCAGTGCTGGATCTAGGGTTATTGCTTAGGGCATTAGTTCCTTTTTCTATATATTTGTAGATTAGGTGTCTTTTTTGCACTTTTCATCACATCTTTTCCCTTAGGGAACCCTTAAAAAAATACTACATCATCCAAACTGGCCCCTCTGTAAATCCAGAATCATCTGTAACTTTTATGATTTTGGCAGAAAAACAAGCAGAAAGGAGTCAGTGACAGTCAGATATGATATAGGAAACTCTGAACACCAGGAGTGGGAATATAATAGACAATGAGGAGTGAGGATAAAGAATAAAATAAATAGGTTTAGGTCGATGATAATGCTAGTTTTCAGTATTAAGTGTCATATGGTTGATTATTCAACAAATACTGAGGGACTACTGTGGGCCAGTTATGGTTCCAGACATTGAGAGAATGTCAGCAAGCAAATCAGACAAGATCCCTGCCTTCATGGAGTTTATTTCTGGTGTGGGTAATTGTCCTCTGATGGTGAGAAGACTGCTTCTTGCAGCTATTCCTTAATGAGAAAACGCTATTTCTTAATGGCTTTAAATACTGAGAATTAATTCTGTTTTTCTGATTTAAAGGTGCCAGCGATGATGCAGTTAGCTGTTCAGTGATGCTGGAAGTCCTTCGCGTCTTGTCAACATCTTCAGAAGCCTTAGAGCATGCTGTCATATTTCTCTTTAATGGTGCTGAGGAAAATGTCTTGCAAGTAAGATGCTCGTTTTAAATACTAAGCTTGAATAATAAATAATAATAATAAAAATAATAAAAATAAAAAGTCCACAGCCTCTTATATACGCATGTTCAGTATTTGAAAATTCTACTTAGAATAGATATCTTGTCAGTGTTGATTAATAAAAGGGCTCTGTGGGACTTCCCAGTGGTGCAGGGGTTAAAGTCTCAGCGCTATCAAGCTACTGCCAGCCACTAATCAGCATGAGTTCAATCCCTGGCCAGGGAGCTAACCCCCTGGCACAGGAGACCTTTCCTGTCTTGCCCACTGCTCCCCTCAGCAGTGGATTTCATTAGAGCTGCCTGTTCTGCTCCCCCCTCTGTCTCTGGTGAATCCTCTCACCCTCCCACCCCATACCTATGGCCTAAACCCCAGTTCCTGTATGCATAAATAAATAAAAAATAAATCTTTAATAAAAGGGTTCTGTGATGGCAAATTTTTTTACCTCTGGTTTTCTTTGACCCTAGAGTTTCAGAGATGTTTTGAGACATGCATATAGCATGAATACCCTACCATATAGATTGCTGAGTGTTTCCTTAGCTGCTATTTTTTTGCTCTTTATTTTGCACACCCTCACTCTTAGAAAAGATATTGTTTGTCACCACTCATGGAAATCAGATTGCCTTTTGTGACAGTGACTTTCCACTGAGAAAACTGCACACAGCCATTATGCAGAGAGGGAAAAACACATAGATATCTTTAGATCCTGCCTTTGGAAAAAAAAAAAAAGAAAAAAAAAAAAAGAAAAAAAAAAAAGAAAAAAAAAAAAAGATTGTATTCCTACTCATCGTCAGTACAGACATCCTATCTTTAAGTAAAATAAAGACTTCAGTTAAGTTTAAGATTGTTTAACCTGTATTTGCTTTTCTTTCTCTTTCAGGCCAGTCATGGTTTCATTACTCAGCACCCCTGGGCCAGCTTGATTCGTGCATTTATTAACCTTGAGGCAGCAGGGGTAGGAGGAAAAGAACTTGTGTTCCAAACAGGTATGTGAGCTTGCATTGTATATTTTAAAGTAATTGTCTTTAAAAATGGAAATTTTTAGAATGTACATAATCTCTCTAATGAAATTGGGACTCCTTTTAAAACATGATCATTTTTGTTCAAATTTTAAAAAAATATTAATTTGGATGTCATAAAAACAGTAATATGAATCAATATTTGAAACTCAGATTTATTCAGTCTGGACATACTAAAATCTGATGGCAGTTCCATGCTATTTCCATGTTCTGCTAGAAATTTGGTTAATACATTTAACCAAAGATGTAGGATTTGCTAGGAGTTATAATAATGAATGTGTTGAGCTAGGGGAAGTAAGGTATTATGGCATCTTGTTTTGTTTTTTTTAAAGATTTATTTATTTTTATACAAGAATTGGGGTACAGGCCAGAAGCACAGGAGGGTGAGAGGATTCACCAGAGACAGAGCGGGGAACAAAACAGGCAGACGGACTGAAAGCACTGTTGAGGGGAGCTGCAGGCGAGACAGGAGAGGTTTGCCACGCCATATGGGAATCTCCCTGGCCGGGCGGGAATTGAACCCATGCTGCAGAGGCTGCAGAGAGCTCCATAGCACAGTGCTCAACCCGCTGTGCCACCAGGGAAGCACCGGCATCTTGTTTTTTAACACCCTTTATAGACATGTTATTGTTTGTTATGAAGATATACTGAGTGCAAAGTGTCTTCATAACTTAGCAATATCATGTTTGTATTTTCTCCTTTCAACTTTTTTTTTAACATTTTTTTTTTTTAAGATTTATTTATTCATTTATATAAGCATTGGATACAGTCAGAAGCGCGGGAGGGTGAGAGAATTCACCAGAGCCAGAGCAGGGAGCAGAACAGGCAGAGGGACGAAATTCATTGCTGAGGGGAGCAGCAGGCATGGCAGGAGAGGTCTGCGCACCATATGGGACCCTTGCCAGTGGCCAGGAATTGAACTGGCACTGCAGAGGCTGCGGGCAGCTTCGCAGCCCGGCGCTGAACCGCTGCGCCACCAGGGGAGGCCCTCCTTTCAACTTATTTTTACACATCTAACTTTTTTTTAAGATTTATTTTTATTTATGCATACAAGAACTGGGGTGTAGGCCAGAGGTGTGGGAGGGTGAGAAGATTCACCAGAAACAGAGTGGGGAGAGGAACAGGAGGATCTACTGAAATACACTGCTGAGGGGAGCAGCGGGCAAGACAGGAGAGGTCTGCTGTGCCAGGTGGAATTGAACTCATGCTTCAGCAGCTGGCAACAGCTTGACAGCACTGAGACTTTAACCCCTGCGCCACCAGGGTGGCCCCACATTTACCATTTAAAATGCAATAAGTTTTACATCAGCTAAGCCTCTGACAATCTCAGGGTTATGAAATCAGAAGAAAAGTTCTATTTTTCCAGCTCTCAAACTTTCTGCTTATTCCTTTTTTTAAAAAGATTTATTTATTTATGCATTGAAGAACTGGGGTGTAGGCCAGAGGTGTGGGGGAATGGGGAGATGAGACAATTCACCAGAGATTGCATGGGGAGCAGAACAGGCAGCTCTACTGAAATTCACAGCTGAGGGGAGCAGCAGGCAAGACAAGAGAGGTCTGCTGCACCGTGTGGGTCTGCTCCCTGGCTGGGGATCCAGCTCATGTTGAGGTGGCTGGCAGTAGCTTGATAGTGCTGTCTTTAACCCCTGAGTCACCAGAGAGGCCCTCTGCTTATTCTTACTCTTCATTTAATGAATGAGAAGAAGCTAATATTGATAGAAGTAGCTGCTACACTGTTATGTATTTCCCTCTAACGCTTGAACATCTATCAAGATAGGAACGCACAATACTACCACCACTTCACAATACACAAGAAAATTCTGTAAGCGAAGACGACACTGTCTATCCTTTGGTTAAAATGTCAAGGCTTCATACGGGCAGGGGTTGTCTTTTTATAATTTTCCCTTCTGGGCCTTCACAGCCATGCTTTTAATTTTTTTTATTGTTTATTATTTTTTCAATTTTTAAGATTCATTTATTTATACAAGCACTGGGGTACAGGCCAGAGGTGCAGGATGGTGAGAGAATACACCAGACACAGAGCAGGGAGCGGAACAGGCAGAAGGACCGAAGTACACTGCTGAAGGGAGCCGTGGGCTAGACAGGAGAGGTCTGCCTTGCCATGTGGGAATCTCCCTGGCTGGCTGGGAATCGAACCGGTGCTGCAGAGCCTGCAGACAGCTTCACAGCACTGCACTCAACCCGCTATGCCACCGGGGAGGTCCACTTTTAATTTATTATCTAGCATCCTGCCCCTACTCCCCTGCAGCAAAGAAAAACCAGTCTTAAGGTTTAGTCTGTACCTATCCTGAATTTTTTTCTGTGTGTATACATTAATACATTTTATATGCATGCATGTTAATATGCTTTCCATGTGTGTAGTTCAGAGAAGTTAAAGCACATTTACCTAGGGTTGTTGAGGTCTAGACCCTCATGAACTCCTTCATTTATATTTACTTAAGCTGTGTCTGAGTATGTTACAATCTGTTTTTTATTAAATGTAGATAGTTTTACATAAAAATTCTACGGTTGTGTCCATTTTAGGTTATCATTGCATTATCTGGAAAGATAAAAATTGAAATTATCAGCAGTCATTACTAGATGGTGGATATTGGCTGTGGTGGTTACTGGAGTTGAGGATGGGGCAGAAGATAAAAGGCTATTTTGATCTCTCCTCGTGTCATGAATAGAAAACCAGAATTCCCTTTACGACTTTATATTTTTTGTAGCTTTCTGTGTTGTAAAATTTTTGCATTGCATTGCATATGACAAAGGAAAAACAGACCTGTTACTAGTTACCGTTTTTCACACACACACACTCCACCCCCCTTTAAATGTTTTACCCATTCTAAAATAAAATCTCCATATTTCAAAAATTTTTTTTTTCTGGTGGACTGTCCTACAATAGATTTGAAACTGTCTCCTTTCTCTGAGGTTTGGTAAGAAGCTTTCCCTCTAGGTTTTTGTAGCTTATTCTTGTGGCTCAACTAAATACCTGAAAGTTCTCTGGGCATTTTTCGACATTTCAGTACCACACCTTTCCTGGTACTGCTCTCATTTCCAGAGGCCACTTTCTACAAAAGAATAGTTTTCTTATGGGGATGGCTGTCAAAAAGCTTGCTAGTGTTCCTTTCACATTTGACTAAAAGAAGATAAAGATCCTTGGACCTCTCCTGGTAGTGCAGGCGGTTGAGTGCAGTGCTGTGAGGCTGTCTGCAGCCTCTGGGCGGGCTCAATTCTGGCCCGCCAGTGAGAATCCCACATAGCGTGACAGACCTCTCCTGTCTCGCCCGCTGCTCCCCTCAGCAGTGTATTTCAGTCAATCTGCCTATTGTGCTCCCCACTCTGTCTCTGGTGAATCCTCTCATCCTCATGCCTGTGCTCTGGTTCTTGTATGCATGAATAAATAAATCTTAAAAAAAAAAAAAAAAAAAAGATAAAGATACTCCTGTATTTGGAGTTCTGCATGGGAGTGTATGCTAGGTTGTTCTGTTCTTCCCTTTTTTAATAGACCCCGTTCTTTTCCTGTGCAGTAGCACTTAGCCTGGAAACTTTTCACTTAAGACACTTTGTGCTTTCTACTTCTCCATTGTTACTTCAGAGAGAGACCTTCACTTGGGGAATTTTCAGTGACTAGAATAACCATTACTATCTAATTTTTGAAAGAACTAGAATACATGAAAGGATGTCTTAATTTATCAAACTAGTGATTTATATCATGAGTCAGGAAGCCTTGATATAATTATTTTGAAGGGTTTATAAAAGCCATTATTTTAAAATTTAAACAAATTAGTAATGTTTGTACCTTGTAAAAAACTCACATACTACCAAACTTGAGTAGAAGAAAGATCATATGCAGAGAAATAACAGATGTTTTGGGGAAAATATCTATGCCCCTATAAGTCTACTACCCAGAGCAAACCAGTGTTACAATCTAGTTTCCACCTTTATGAATTTTTTTCTATGCATATACATTAATTTATATAGCTTTTTCTTACAAAATGGGATCATAATCTATCTGCTACTTTATTATCTAATTGAGATTACATTGTTTATTCACACACCCTATAATTCTAGTATTGTAAGTGAAATTCAGTGGTTTTAAAATGTTTTGTAATCATCACTAAAATAAATCTTAGAGTATGCTTTTTTTATGTTAATACATGTTTCAGTACCTTTCCTTTTTATTACTGAATTTTGTTTTATCTATGGATAATGCTAACATCATTTATCCATTTACTTAATGGACATTTGAATTATTTCTACTTTTAGACTATTATGAATAGTTGCTATTACCAAATGTTGCTATGAACATTTGGTGTAAGTTTGTATGGGGACATATATTTTCATTTGGGGTAGATGCATAGGAATGGAATTCCTGGGTCATATAGTAAATTTATGTTTTACCTTTCAAGAAACTGCCACACTAAACGATATTTATTTTAGAGGAAATATAAATGAAAGTTAACAGAAGGAACTTTTAGTATTAGATTTATAGAAAGTAAGTAGAATGATAATGGCCAGTTCTGATAAATAGAGACAGGCATTTTCGTACATTGGTGATAGAAATATAAATTGATACCATTTGGGAACAGTTGGTCATTGTGCACCATTTGTAAAAATGTGCAGAATCTTCTGTCCAGCAGGTTCACTTCTAGGAATTCATCCTGAGAAATAATTGTATGTGTACACAAAGATGTATACATAAAAGTAAAACATTAAAGGACCTCCCCAGTGGCACAGCGGTTGAGCACTGGGCTGCGAAGCTGCCCGCAGCCTTTGCAGTGCCGGTTCGATCCCCGGCTGCCGGCGAGGGGGTCCCACAGTGCGCACAGACCTCTCCTGCCACGCCCGCTGCTCCCCTCAGCAGTGCACTTCGTCAGTCTGCCAGTTCTGTTCCCTACTCTGGCTCTGGTGAATTCTCTCACCCTCCAGTGCTTCTGACTGTACCCAGTGCTTGTATAAAT